ATTTGTAGCTAGAGTTTTCCTGCCTGGCCCACAGTCAGGGCAAATCTCTCTCACCCGCCAGTCCCAAGCCACTCAAACCCGATCAAGTAAACACAGAGACTTATATTGGTTATAAACTGTATGGCCGTGGCAGGCTTCTTGCTAACTGTTCTTACAGCTTAAATTAATCCATTTCTATTAATCTATATCTTGCCACGTGGCTTGTGGCTTACCGGTACTTTACATCTTCCTTGTCCTGATGGCGGCTGGCAGTGTCTCCCTCACCCAGCTTCCTGTTCTCTCCATTCTCCTCTCTGTTAGTCCCGCCTATACTTCCTGCCTGGCCACTGCCAATCAGCGATTTATTCATTGACCAATCAGCAACACATTTGACATACAGACCATCCCACAGTAGGGACTTCCCCTTGGTTGTCACACAGGTTCTCAGATTGTAATGTGCACACAAATCACCGGGAATCTTAAGAAATACAAACCCAGCAGGGTCCAAGATTCAGTATTTCTAATAAGCTTTCTTAGGTGCGATGATACTATTGGTCCTTATACCTTACTTGAATAAAAGGGCACTGAAGAGATGGCTCAGCAATTAAGAGCATTTGCTGCTCTTGCAGAGGACCAGCTTCAGTTCATTTCACCCACATGGCAGTTCACAGTGACCTATAACTCTAATTCTAGAGGATCTGGATTTTCCTTCTGACCTCTATGAGCTCCTGGAGGCGTGTGGTGTACATGTATTAACACACGCTTACACATATACATATTTATGAAAAAGTGAATTTTCTAAGGACATAGATACTAGGGAGAGCCCTACACAAACCATCTAAATAGGTTCCTGGAGCACTCTTTACAGCTTAATGCCTTATCTTGTCATGCTACACAACTCCGTTGCAGTGGCATAAGCACAATTTCAGGCCCTCTTTTTCCATTCAAATCATTTTTGACCCCTTGTCTTTAATAATCATAGCTGTCAACTCCTCATTCCAATTTTTGTACAACCATTGCTGCAGTCAACAAAGCTGAAAGGTGATGGAGATCTGAACAAAATTTTTACATCAGACGTGAAGATGTAGTTTGGAGTTTGCTCAGCTGATTTTTGGTCTTGGTTTGGTCCAGTATTTCCTCATTATGCTCCCTTCCCTACATTTTGGAATGATAATGTATATCCTGTGCTATTGAAAATATGTGATCTGGTTTTTGATTTTGATTTTTCAGGGGGTTATAGTTAAGAGATTGCTGTGAGTCTCAGAGGAGACTTTAAACTTTGGACTTTAATGGTATTGAGGACTTTTGAAGTTAGACTGAATGCATTTTTGCATTGTGATATGGCTATAAGCCCATGGGGGGGGGGTCAGTGGAATGTTGTGGTTTGAATAAGAATAGTCTCTTATAGGCTCATCTATTTGAATGCTGGTCATTAGGAAGTGGCACTACTTGAGAAGGATTATGAGGTGTGGCCTTATTGGAGGAAGTGTGTCACCAGGGGTAGCCTTTGATGTTTTAAAAGCCCAAGCCAGGCAAAGATGTTCTCTCTTCCTGCCATCTGCTGATCCAGATATAGAACTCTCAGCTACTTCTCCAGCACCAAGTCTGCCTGTGAGCTGCCATGATGATAATGGACTAAACCTCTGAAACTTTTTGGTGCCAAGAAGGCTTTGTCCTTCTGTGTTCTCAGCTATTCTTCTTCTTCTTTTTTTTAAAGACACTATATGTTATTTCTTAATCCTAAGCAAAAAGCTTCAAACCACTCCCTCTATCAGTGCTAGACTCCAAAGTCCTTCCTGCAGAGAAGTTCGGGTGTAGCCAGCCATAGTCTTGTCTGACTAGCTGGTAGTCCTGAGGGAGTGAGCCGTGTGCATTTTGGGACTTCAGTGTTATCATTTTAACCACATGGCTGTCAATTTATCTTTAAACAAATCACCTTTTCCTTTAGTCTAGTCATATCTTGGTTCAACTTCCTTTTAGTGTCTACTGTGTAAAATAATGGAAGAACCACAGGGTTCTTCAAATAGCTTAAATAAAATAGATTAAAGCGGCTGTAGCTGAAACTATGGGAGCCAAAATTAGAGAAGTGGCTAGGAATATACATGGAGTTAAGGTGTTTAAGCATGAACATGAAAGCTAGGCATAGTAAAGGGTTTCAAGGAGCGAAAGACATGATCAGAATGACTACATTTTGGATGATTACCCTCACAGAAGTGAGCAGGATTACTTAAAGGAGGTCCAGATGGCACCAGATGCTAGGAAGGTGAATAATGAGTCAGCATGAGCCATACTAGTGACTAAGAGTCATCAGAACTTGTCACCTGGTTATAGAGGTGAGGAAAAAAAAAAGAGGAATGTGGTATTCCTCAAGTTTCAAGCTTAGGCAATGCTTAAGGTTTTCAGAGTGGCCACGTATTGAATTGGAGAGTTTAGTAGAAGAGTAAGATTAAAAGAAGCTATTCAGCTTGGGTTTATATGTATTAAGGGAGACCTTCTAATCATTTGAGTAAATGGGTGTAGGAATCAGCACACACAAGCCCTCAGTTCCTTCCTGGGTCTAGGATTGTTTTGAGACTCTCCCAAGCATCTGCTTAGGCATGTGCTCAAAGTTCACATTAAGTAGGATTTTTTTTCAACTGATTATCTATTTAGCAACCACATTGAGTTATTCTTTTTTAAAATCTATTATCTTTTTGTTGTTGCTTTTTTTTTTTTAGATTTCTATTGCATTTTTATTTAGTGTGTCTGTGTTAATCTCACCTGTTGAGAATAAGACCGCTACCACAATTTGCAGTCAAATGTGAAGCAAGCTTTAATGAAATACTGGCCAGGTCCATCTCTGGGTTCAAGAAGATGGCCCGGAGTCACTGTTTGCAGCAGTTTAAGTATTTCCCATCAGGTCCAATGATGGGCAAGCACACATGTGATGTACTTCCTGCCTGTGAACCTCCTGCCCAATGTGACCAAGCACATCCAAATGGGTCAAACTTATTCAGGGGCGTGAAAAACATGATAAACAACAGCCTCCAGCATTTCAGGAACTATTTGTCCTTGGGCAAGGGGTTTGCAGACTAGAGGCATTTTTGTTTCATGGATTTTTTAGGCACAGTAATGAAAACTTAAAAGGTAACTTTGGCTCACACACGTATATGCAAGAATGTGTGTGGTGCCAGGCAGTGATGGCGCACACCTTTAATCTCAGCACTCAGGAGGCAGAGCCAGGTGGATCTCTGTGAGTTCGAGGCCAGCCTGGTCTACAGAGTGAGATCCAGGACAGGCACCAAAAGTATACAGAGAAACCTTGTCTCAAAAAACCAAAAAAAAAAAAAAAAAAAAAAAGTGTGTGGAACTCTGGGAATTAGTCTTCTCTTTCAACCATGTGGGCCTGGTAGGTTGAACTGAGGTCATCACAACTTGGCACCCTCTGCCTTTACCTGATGAACCATTTCTCCAGGCCCAAACTGAGTTTTTTTTTTTTTTTTTTGGTTTTTCGAGACAGGGTTTCTCTGTGTAGCTTTGCGCCTTTCCTGGAACTCACTTGGTAGCCCAGGCTGGCCTCGAACTCACAGAGATCCGCCTGGCTCTGCCTCCCGAGTGCTGGGATTAAAGGCGTGCGCCACCACCGCCCGGCCCAAACTGAGTTTTATGGGGCACTGAACACTAAACCTAGGACTTCCTGAGTGCTTGGCAAGCACTCTACCAATGGAGCCACACCCCTAGCCTCCTTAATCTTGGTTTTATTTATTTATTCACTTACTTTCATTGTTTTTTGAAAAAAGGTCTTGTGATGTAGTCCAGGCCAGTTTCAAAACCTGGCTCCAACTGCCTCAGCCTCCCAAGTGCTTAGAATTATATGAATATGCCACACAACACCCTGTTCCAATTCTGGTTTTACTGTGAACTCTCTTTACAAATGTCTTTTGTGGATTAAATGTCCTCCAGAAAGCTGGGCGTGGTGACTCATGCCTTTAACCCCAGCACTTGGAAGGCAGTGTACCCTTACTTACCCAAGGAAAATTTAAAGGGGCTAAAAACTACCATAATTACTGATGAGGGAAGAGAAAAAAGATACAGGGTTTTGAAGAGTTGTACGTGAAAAAGAGGCAGCAGGAGACAAAAACATTTTGTGAACAGAAGAAACGTCTGGACTAAATGCCAGTGAAGAATAGCATTCATTAACAATGCTCTAAAATGCCGCATTAAATTTAGATATTAGAAATGACACCAAGCAAGCCAATCTTTGCACAGTGACGTCAATGTCTCGCTTGGAAATTGTTCTCAGAAACAATGTTTTATCACAAGGCAACAGCAAGAATAGGCTTCTCACATGTTTGCCCAAACTGACCAGGTACCTCTGAACATAAAACAAACAACCAAACAAACAAAAAACAAAAACAAACACTCTTCCCTGAAGGATGAGTATGAATCTCCCATGGTTCCCATGGTGCTGAGGCCTGTGTGTGTGTGTGTGTGTGTGTGTGTGTGTGTGTGTGTGTGTGTGTGTGTGTGTGTGTATATGTGTGTTGGGGGGAGGTGCAGAAGACCCAACCCCGCAGGAAAAGCCCAGGAGATGCCTGTCAGAGTTCAATATGGTAAGCTTGGGTCCCCAAAGTCTCCCATGGTTCCGATGGTGCTGATTCCTCATGCAAAACCCGCGACTTTCCAGGAGACAGCCGGGCCGACTCCCGCAGCAGCTGGAGCAAGCACGCATCAGGGGAGCCCGCAAGTGTCAGGGGAGCCAGCAAGCTGCAAGAAAGGCGCGCGTGCGCACGAGAACGCGCTGCGCAGCCCTGCTGCCTGGGGCCCCTCGCCGCCGCGCCTGGCTGGTGACCTGGAAGCAGACGTGCGTATGGGAGGCCCGGGGCTTTCGGTTCCGGTGCATCATAGGTCAGTGCAGTCGCTGCTTCCTGTCCTCGGTTTCCCGACCTGGGCAGTACGAGGTGGCCGTGGTGTGGCTGCTCCCAGGGGCCCATGGCTGAGGGTGACGTAGGGAGCGACCAGAGGCAGGTGAGGGCCCCCAACTGCAGCCTGGGAGCCGGGACTCGGCGACCATCAGTTCGCACGTGACCAGGCTGCCATTCAGACTCCCATTTTCCCACTTCAGGCCTATTCATTAAGTTGATGGTTTTGAGACAGTGCCTCTCTACACAGTCCTGGCTATCCTGGAGCTGTACTCAAAGAGATCTGCATGCCTCTGCCCTCAGAGTGCTGGGATTCAAGGCGAGCGCCTTCACACCTTGCTGTCATTACTTTTTAACCCTAAAATAAATTCTTCAGCGCCTGGTTAGCAAAAGCGGGGAAAACGCTAGCGAGTCTTGTTCCCAAATTAAAAACAACAGCAAACCTAAAACAGAAATACCAGTGAGAACTCAACAGGAGTATGGTGTTAATGGTGTGGGAATGGCCTTTTCACTGGTAAGTCTCATTACAGGATGTGTGTGTGTGTGTGTGTGTGTGTGTGTGTGTGTGTGTGTGTGTGTGTGTGTGTTTTGTGTGTGTGTGTGCGCGCGCGCGCGCTGGTTGCAATCATGGCGATAGTGTCAGGAAAGCAGACAGCCGAACATGCTCAGAACATTTGACCTCCTAAGACTCATTTTTGTTAATGCCTTAAAAGGTGGTAAGAATAGGTTTATCCATGTATGTTCATTTGTTGACTTTCACACATCGACTTTCAGAATGAGGAAATCGAAGCCATGGCTGCCATTTATGGGGAAGAGTGGTGCGTTATAGATGATTGTGCCAAAGTATTTTGTATTAGAATCAGCGACGACATAGATGACCCCAAATGGACACTTTGCTTGCAGGTATTTTTTTCTTCTTTGTAGCGATTTTTCCAGTCTTAATATATAACTGATGCCATTTGTCTCTTTATGATTATTCCAGTTTGACTTGCTTTCTGGATTGCCTTTGCTGATGCAAATGTAGATATTTAAATCTGAGGTCACCCTCAAATCATGCTTTTGTTGATTGTTGAGATCTTGTTGTTATTCTTCTAATTAGTAAACGTGTTAATGTTCTATTTATAGACTTGAGTGACACTTCCTTTTGTTACTCTGACCAATAACAGAAGGTTTAGACCTGGAAAGGCGGTTAACATTTAAGAGGAAGAGTAGGTTTTGAATGAAAATCCATAGAGCAATACTTGTCTCTTTATTGAGACTCAGTTATTGAGTACTTAGAATAAAATAAAAGATTAATTGTGCATTATTGTTTTGCCTACATGCGTGTCTGTGTGAGGGTATCAGATCTCCTGGAACTGGAGTTACAGACAGTTGTGAGCTGTTATGTGGGTGCTGGGAACTGAACCAGGGTCCTTTGGAAGAGCAGCCAGTACTCCTAACATCTGAGCCATCTCTCTAGCCCCCTTAACCTTATTCTTAACTTTCATCTTTTATAGTTTCTCTGCCAAGAATTAGCTTCTAAAAACACAGATAACCTAACAACATTTTTGTAGAACCATAAATATGATGGAGGAGATTTTCACTTGATAGCATATAAACCAATGGTTTGTCTTTTGTCTAGACAAATTAGAAACTTGGTTATTGACTGACTTTATAAATTTAGTTGCTTTTCAGCTGTGATCAGTGTAAGCAAATTTGCTTTAAAACTTCCTTGTAGGTGATGTTACCGAGTGAATACCCAGGTACAGCGCCACCTATTTATCAGTTGAAGTAAGCTATATTTTTAACTTTACCTTTTTATAGAAATATTTTACTGTCAAAGATAGTTTTCTATACAGTCATTGTGTTTATACAAAATACTTTGTTTAAAATCAATATAGAAATTAAAAACATCTTTTAAGTTAGTGTGAGCATTTTACAGAATGACGTAAAACACATTGATACATACTGCTTAGTATAACAGAGTCCGAGTTCACAGAGGTCAGAACGCTGCAGGACTGTGCTGAGAGATGGGGAAGAAAGCTTCCTTGTTGCTCGGCCTCCTAACCCAGCTCTTGGATTAACTTCAAACTGCCAGCCTTCGTGAACTTATCCAGGGTGCTTGACACTTGTGCCTGCCTTCTCTGTCCATTGCTGTTGAAGGACCACTTCTTAGTAGTCCAAGCTTCATCTGCGTGAGTCCTGACCTGTTGACGAAGTGGGCTGTGACCTGCCTCACCTTTAACTTCATAGTTTAGCAAAGCCATAGGAACAGAGCTGCATAAATTGGCTATGAAAAGTTGTATCTACAAGTGTTGTTTTTGTGTATGTTTCAAAACTATGCCAATAAAACTAATAAAAATGGTTCTTTTTTTTTTTGGTTTTTTGAGACAAGGTTTCTCTGTATCCCTGCCTGTCCTGGATCTCGCTCTGTAGACCAGGCTGGCCTCGAACTCACTGAGATCCGCCTGGCTCTGCCTCCCCAGTGCTGGGATTAAAGGCTTGCGCCACCACCTCCCAGCTGGTTCTGTGTTTTTTTATCTATTGCAAATGATACATACAGAATGCTTTCAAATATCTTTTCAGAGAAAAAGGCACTTTTGTAATCCCATGGCAGCGTGCTGACTCGTTGGGCTCATTTTTGGGAGTAACCTATTAGTTAGTCCAGCTTTTGCAGCCAGAAGAAGAAAATGAGAACTCCTGGCCTTGTGGCAGACATTACCGATCTGGAATGTTAAATTCCTGAGCAGGTTCAGTCACTGATGCAAATTTGGGCAGGTTTCTGGTACCCTAGGAACTCAGCTTCTGTTTTTTTAGGTCATTAAAATTCAGTAAGATTCGTGTTGATTTTGTTATGGTTTCTTGAGCAGGTTGAATGAGTTAAGGCAAATGAAAACATTTTAACTCTGTATAGATTTTAAAAACACATTAATGAATATTTGAAATACTCATCTAATTCTTGAATAATTTTCTTTACTGTGTTTTATTCAATCTTAGTGCTCCTTGGCTGAAAGGGCAAGAACGTGCAGACTTATCAAACAGCCTTGAGGAAATATACATGTAAGTGACAGGTAGCTTTTCCCAAACACTCTGCTAGTGACTTCTGCTCTGCGTTTTTCTTGACAGATATGTTCATACTTTCCCTGAACCTTTTGTTAGGCTCATTAACGAAAACATTCACTTTAAACAAACTAAAAGGTTAGTTACAAAACTCACATGTGCATTTGATAGAAGAATGTGGCAATATTTAAAGTTGGAAATATAACACTTATTTGGCCTCTGAAGGCAAATTCAGAGATACTGTTCTTTTTTTTTTAGACTTTCAAAATATTTAATTGAAGAGTTAAAAATAAAAGCAATATATTTATTGCTGAATGTGGGTTTAAGCAGCTATACAATTTATGGAGCAGTATGGATATGAATTAACTATTTAGCCTTTGAAGGTCTAAGGTTGTCATTTGAAAATTAGTGACCTCATTAACCACTTCACAGTATTTGTGTACAAAATCAATACTTTATGTTAGCACATTGTGGGGTGTGGTTTCTATTTAGTATTAACTATCTGGACCATAAAGGCATTTGTTTTCCCCATAGTTAACCTTCTTGAACCTTCCTGAAGCTTCATCATTATCTGCTTGATTCTTCCTTAGCTAGCCTATGAAAATAGGCTTTGATTTTGGTCAACAGTTTCTTGAATTTAGCTATTTTGCCTTAGCCTAAGCCTTACCCTGGAAGAAAACATATTTTCATAAGAAGAATCTATAAGCTTCCCAAGTTCAATAAGCCTAACAAAAGTAAGTAGAATTAGTGGAACACACACGAAATAACAGACACAAGTTCATTCCACATACTTTTAAAAATTATCAGTCACAGAGACAGTTTTCCATGAATTATTAATCAAACCTCCTTCAATGTTTTCCCGCAAAAAGGACAGTGGGGGGAAATGAATGTGCATACTTCTTCAAATTCCTAGATGTGACAGCAGCCCAGAAACAGACCCAGACAGTACTGCAAGGTGGTAGGTGCATTGAGAGATCAGGCCCAACAGCAAAATGGCCGCCAGAATCCACCAGTGTAGGGGATTTGCTTATAACATGGGACAAAGAATTTCAGGGTTTATAAAGTTTGTCTCTGAAAAAAACATAGAAAGAACAAGGAAAGAACCTGGGAGATGCCTAATGAATTTCCAAGTTCCTGTGTCTTAGACAAGAATTTCAGAGAAAGCAATACTACAGGGAGTAAGGAAATGAAGAACTCCCAGGGCATCCGTGGCCCCAGTGAGGTTAGAGCAGATTAATATTAGTTTGCTGAGTCTTACAACTGCTATGCATAAACAAATGTATACCAGATTCTATGCTAGTTTTTTTTTTTAAATTTTTTTCTTTATTAAGAAATTTTCTACTCACTCTACATACCATCCACAGATCCCCCCTCCTCCCTCCTCCCACCCTCCAGCCCTCTTTCCCAAGTCATCCCGAATCCCCACATCCCCCAAATCGAGGTCTCCCATGGGGAGTCAGCAGAGCCCAGCACACCGAGCCTAGGCAGGTCTAAGCCCCTTCCCACTGCACCAAGGCTGTTCAAGGCGTCACACCTCAGACACTGGATTCCCAGAAGCCTGCCCATGCACCAGGAACAGATCCCGATCCCCCCAAACAGTTCGAGCCAAACAACCATCTTCCGTATCCAGAGGGCCTAGCCCAGTCCCATGGGGGCTCCACAGCCACCAGTCCACAGTTTTCACTAGTGTGGCCAGTCACAGAGATACTGTTCTTGTTGTGTGTATTCTTGTAGCATATGATGAGTGAAAATGATGATGGCAGGATTCAAACCATAATTATTTGTTAAAGTTCTGAATACTTTGATAGTTCTCTTGTAGTAATCTAAAAGACCAAGATCCTACAGAGGCAGTGTTATTGTTCATTCAATAATTCACCCATCCATCAAATACTACATGGTGGGCAGTGTGTTAGATTCGGGCTACACATGGTTTAGCAAAACTAGAAATTATCCCTTTTCATAGTGTTTAGAATTTTCTAGTGTGGTAGGGGAATGTATTACCTACAGCATTGAAAAAGTGAATGTAACTCTGGAGCTGTGATGGGCGTTATGATAGTGATTGAGTTTGACAGGTTTATTCTGGTCTGGGAGTCTGTAGGTGGCTTGTTGGACTAAGAGCTGAGTAAATTAGCTCACATACTTTCAGTGAGAGGCCAGAGCATAGTCATGGTGACATGAAGTGGGTGGTAGGAGACAGACTAACCCTGTGGGAAAAGACTGGGAAAGGTGGACAGGAAGATCGGAGTTTTGTAGGTTCTGTTAGAGATTTTTTTTTCTTAGCCCTAGGAACCGGTGAATGCTGAATTTTGAGAGGTGGGATGCCAATGCTAAGACTTCAGTTTGGAAAAGTTAGCCTAGTTCTCTTGTGATTGCCTGAAGAGCAACAAGAATTGATGTAGGAAATTTGTAAGGAGACTGATAGGTCGTTAGTCAAGAGAAGATAAGGTTCATTTGGATTAATGAAATATGTTGATTTATTAAACCAAATACTATTCTGGATTATCAGATTTTTTTTTTTTTTTTTCTGAATCCAGGTGCTAGTAAGCATTCTATTGTATGTTCTAGGTGTCCTGTTTGGTACAGTGAGAGTGCCCCCTTTATGTCCCAGGGATCAAGGCCAGGTTTCTTTTCCTCCCAAAATATTTAATTAGAAAATGGTAAGTCATCATGGAACCCATATTACTTGTCCTTCCTGAAAGACCTTTCTTGGGCCCCTACTTAGTGATTCTGTTATCCTCAGTATATAATTATTTCTTTAGTTAAATGTTTTTGATGCCTGTTTTAACATTACTGGCCATTCTAACAATTGTATTTCCAACATGCTTCTTTTTGTAATCCAATTACTTTTATTTAACTTGTCTTCACCACTTAATGTAGAATAAGGTAAATATACTACAGGCTTGCTTATAGTTAATTATACAGCTGGTGGTCACTTTTCAGATCATACCTTACTTGACTGCTTTATTTCATGAAAATCTTTCCACCCCTGACTTCCATCGTGTTAACACATTTGTCTCCTGCTTATACCAATGCCATAGCTTGTGCGGTGGCCTCCTGCCTACCTGCTTGTGATTCCGAGTCCTGGGTACTAGGAGAAGCCTCTTATTGGACAAAATTTGCCTCTTCTGACTCACTCAGAGGTTTTAAACAGTTTGTTCTAAAGATAAGAGAGAGGTCATAATGTTTTGATTAGTAAAAGTGCTTGAATAATAATTGCAGTCTAATAATAGTATTTTCACATGTGATAAATAGCAATATGAATTGTATTTTTTAAAAGTTTCATGTGACAACTTTTAATGATTTTATATATTTCCAGTCATGGGCAATAAATGAAAAGTATTACTAACTTTAAAAATCAGATATAAATCTACCAACATAATTTTTAATGTTTATATTTTCAAAATATGATATTGAGTTTTATATATCTAGAGCATTTTACATGCTAAATTTAATATTTGCCCATATAAGAAGATAAACTATGATTAATGGCCACTTACGTGGACAGGTAAGAAAGAAAGAATCTTTTGGTAAACATTTTTTATTTTCTATATACTGCCTCTCTGCTAGGAATTTGGGATTTAAAAATGAAGACAAAGAGCTAGGTGTGATGTTACACACCTTTGATCCCAGCACTTGGGAGGCAGAGGCAGATAAATCATTGTGAGTTCAGGGTCAGCCCAGTCTATGTCTTGAGTTCCAGGACAGTCAGGGCTGCATAATAAGACTGCCTCAAAACAAAAACAAAAGAAACAGACAAATAAAACAAAGCAAATTATAATGGCGAGGCACAGGATGTAGTTCAGTGCTAGTGCTCCTGCCTAGCATGTGTGAGGTACTGGGTTTCATCCCCAGCATCACAAACACACAAATCAAGATGAATGAGGTCCTAGGCTTGGCCTTCAGCAACGCACACACACACTTGTGGATGAATGTGTGCCTCATAACATCAGCAGCCTGTTAGGCTGTGTTAAGGCTGTTTTGGTCAAGCTTCTGGAATCAGCTTTTGAATAGCATACTTCTTTGTGTTTATTCTCATACCGATAGTATGAGTATAGTATCGTTGTAAGGATTAAGTGACATCCATGTAATAGACTTTATTTCGCACACAGTAGTGGTTTGTTAGCCTTGTACCATTTTTTTTTCTCGTTTTTCGAGACAGGGTTTCTCTGTGTAGCTTTGCGCCTTTCCTGGGACTCACTTGGTAGCCCAGGCTGGCCTCGAACTCACAGAGATCCGCCTGGCTCTGCCTCCCGAGTGCTGGGATTAAAGGCGTGCGCCGCCACCGCCCGGCAGCCTTGTACCATTTAAACAGAACTCTTGAGATAGCTTACAGAGAGCAGGTTTATTTCAGGTCAGTTTGGAGATTCTGTTGCTTTGGAGCTCTGATGATGCACGTGTTTGGGAAAGCAGAATTTCCTACTGTGAGCCAGAGAGTATAAACAAAAAGGAAGATGCAGGTGTTTAGGAGCAAGGCTTTCAGCTTTGCTCAGTGTAATTGCCTTCTGATTCTATAAAGGCCTTCATCACAGCAATGAACGGCAAAAGTTGGAAGACCAGTATTTTGTGTTTGTTTTTTAAATAAGTCACACTCCTAGTGGATAGTTAAAAGATAGAAATGAGCCGGGCGCTGGTGGTGGCCACGCCTTTAATCCCAGCACTCGGGAGGCACAGTCAGGCGGATCTCTGTGAGTTCGAGGCCGGCCTGGGCTACCAAGTGAGTTCCAGGAAAGGCGCAAAGCTACACAGAGAAACCCTGTCTCGAAAAACCAAAAAAAAAAAAAAAAAAAAAAAAAAAAAAAAAAAAAATAAGGGTGGGGGATTTAGCTCAGTGGTAGGAACGCTTGCCTAGCAAGCGCAAGGCCCTGGGTTCAATCCTCAGCTCAGAAAAAAAAAAAAAAAAAAAAAAAAAAAAAAAGAAAGAAATTCTTGTTGCAAGAGAAAACAAATACAGTGTAATACTTCTAATACAAACATTTTGTACTTTAGTGGTAGACTTTTGGGGGGTCTGTGGTAGAGAATGATTTCTACTTGACCCAGAAAGCCTCATAGCCACAGTGCCTCTTTGCACTGGATTCTCGAGCAGCAGCCTTGCTAATGCTAGTGAAGACAGAAACCGCAGTGTACGAAGCTCAGTAGTGCTCTGGCCTGTGCGTTCTTGGGAAGCCACGGTGAGGAGAAGACATCTGAAGTGAAGGTTGAATTTCCTTTGTTGCTTTGGGAAGTGACCAATTGTAGAAATTCTTCCAAGGTATTATTTTTCAAATGTTGAATGAGGAGTCAGATGTAGTGACCCTAGTCTGTAAGTCCAGTGCCGAGACTGAGATAGGAAGAGCATGGATTCAAGGTAGCCTGGGCTGCATCGTGAGTAGACATGTAGACTCACTTGGGCTACATACGTTAAGATCTTGTCTTAAAGAACAAAATCAGAATGTGAATTCATATTTATGAAGGGACGATTTTCAAGTTTCAAAGGGGCTAGTGAGTGCAGACTGGGGTAATAAGCATTTTGGCACTTCTTATGTATAGTAGGTGTTCAGTATACGTTAGTGTTAAAATCACTAGGGTGATGGTGATATGAGGAATTCAGTAGAATAAGAGTGGGAGATAGAACTCCGTATAAAGCCGTGTTCTTGTGTAGGAATGGTTACCAGCACTAAGAACGGGCTGACATTACCCTGCCCCCTGCCATAGCCCCAGGACCTCATGCAGTGCAGTCTCTATACTAGAGGCTCTGAAAGAGGGAGGACCCCCATGCCCCAATGTCACTGAGTCTTGTGTTTCTCCTGAGCCTCCTAGATTGAAGGTTCACCCAGGACAGACAAGCCTTCAGCAGTGTGTGCGTGTAGATTGTACAAATCCATCCCATAGGCTAGAAGTGTCCTTAGCGTTAGCTGTTTGATCGGGGAACAAGATGCAGGTGACTTGAGCTTTACACCTCAATTCTCAATTCTTATTTCAGCTCAGGCCTTTTTTACTTGCTGGCAAAGCTGTTGAGCAAGAACAGAGCTGTTGATCTCTGTTCTCATCTTCATAATGGGGAAGTCATGACACTGTCTTTGGACAGTTCTAAGGATCAGCTGTGTTAGTGTATATGTTCTTGGGACCTGGTATACACTTAATACATTGGAACTTGCATTGTCCAGAGAAGAGAGGAGTGAATATCCTTTAAAGAAATTCTCTGTCTTTAGAAACCTTTCCAGTTGATGTCTTTGCTTTCTACAAATAAAACTTGCAAAGAGATACAGCAAAGACCATTTTAGTTCCAGGAGATATGTACCAATGAGATGGGTGGGTTTGACAGTCTGTAAATGATTGAAAAGTGCTTGTTTTGAAAGTTTCTTTTGGTGGGTACTGATTTTGAGAGGAGTTTTAAAGGAGAAGCAGGATGGTGCTGCTATGACATAGGTCGGACACTTCTTTAAACACACACCAAAGCTACCGTAGTTAGAATCGCTCCTTAAGCATGAGATACTTGGTCCTTATTTTATTGATGTCCTATCATTTAACTTCAGAACTCAAAACACATTCTTTTTTTCAGTGATTTGAGATGAATTTAATTATTTGAGGCAGCCAAACATTTGAAACCAAAATGAATCAATTATTCAGTAGACTAGTTTGTCAGAAAACATGTTATGGATATAAAACTGTTGAGTTACATGTCTTTTAGATCTCTTAAGTTCCTGAGAGAGTCCCGATATACTCTGTGTATGCCGTGTTGAAGGATCTGTGGGCCAAACAAGTAGTTTGACTTGTTCAGAGAGTTGAAAAGGGTAGTGATGATTGGACACGAGTCCCAAAACCACCCATGAATGGAAACAAATCATGTTGACACCTATCTTATCTGTGTAGTGCAGATTTAGACACCTTCTTTCCTTTCTTTGGATGCAATTGTTCTCCTTAATTTAAGTTGTAAGTAAGGTCTATTCATTTTGGAGCCATTTGAAATCTTTAATGTTGGTATACATAATATATGTTACTCAGACATAAGTGTTGGTAAATTTTATGTATTATATATTTGGAAAGGCATGGTTGGATTTTATTACATTGACTTGGGGTTATAATTGTAAATAATTTTTTTGAATTTGAGAAGGTAACATTTTTGAAATAATGAATTTTATCCCTGGATTTTATTTAGACAGAATATTGGTGAAAGTATTCTTTACCTGTGGGTGGAGAAAATAAGAGATGTTCTGATACAGAAATCCCAGATGACAGAGCCAGGTAAGACTGAATGATAATTTTCTGTCTTCTAATTTGGAGTAGTTAAATTTTCATATGAATGCTATGATTGAAGTTACACATGAGAATCTGTATTCTGGTTTGTGGTTTCTTTCTTTCCATCTCCTCTCCTCTCCTCCCCTCTCTCCCCTCCCCTCTCCTCTCCTTTCCTTCCTTTCCTCTTTCCTTTCCTTTCCTTTTCCATTCCCTCCTCTCCCCTCCCCTCTCATCCCCTCTCGTCCCCTCCTCTCCTTTCTTTTCCTGTGTAGCCCTGGCTGCCTGGGACTCGCTCTGTAGACTAGGCTGGCCTCGAACTCAGAGATCTGCCTGTCTCTATTCCCCTGTGGCTGGGATTAAAGGCATGTGACACTATGTCCTACAAGGTTTATGGATTCTATATCATAAAAAGAAGTTTCTCTTGAGAGTTCACTTACTCATGTAGTTATAGTAATTTCTTTCTATAAGGTTTCTCTGTGGATTATACTCCTAGAATGTAGAATTTTGTGGGGAAACAACTTGAACCTAAAATACACTGTTTGAATGTCATTAAGGTATTATAAACTTTGTAGAATGCCTTATGATTTAGATATATAAATTAGATATTAGTCCTAAACAAATCTAGTGTTCATCAAAAAAGAACTCTGAGAAGTATTTTGACTAATAATAGTATATAGAGTTTAATTTTAAAATAGACTTTGAAATTGCGATGCAATTCATACATCACAATCATTCACCCTTCTAAGTGAAGGAGTAACCTTCACACAGAAGCTGACAGCATTGCCCCACCAGCAGCCTTTTGTTAGACCGAGGGCAGGCAGAGTGGACGACAGCGCAGGCTGGGCTCCATCCTGCACCTGCCCTGATCCCCCTCCCCCCTTTGAAGAGACAGAACTCTGTTCCCAGGTAGCCTGGTGTTCCTTCTCAACTGCTTTGTATTGTCACCACAGGTCACAGGTGACATTGTTTTCAGTGTTGGGGGGAAGAATTCTAAAGAACCCTGTAGCTTATTTAGAACTTTTAAAAGAAGGTTATTTACAGAGAACTAATTATGTTGGATGTTTAAAGTTGATAGCAGTATGTGAGTTTTCAGATCACTTTTACCATTTTTCTATAGAACAAATATTTTTACTGCTTTGTTAAAAATCAAAGAGGAGTGGAGGGCTGGAGAGATGGCTCAGAGGTTAAGAGCACTGACTGCTCTTCCAGAGGTCCTGAGTTCAATTCCCAGCAACCACATGGTGGCTCACAACCATCCGTAATGAGATCTGGCACCCTCTTCTGCATACAAAATGAATAAATAAATCTAAAAATAAATGTAACACTTGAAATAGTTTAAAAAAAAAAGAACAAAGAGGAGTGGGGAGAGAGTGGCGTAAAGACACTAATCTCTGTAGCTTTTTTAAAGTGTTTTCTTTGACTTTTGGATCCATGTTCTGATTTTACAGAATTCAGAGTGTGTATGAGAAAGAATAAATCTCTAGAAATTCTCAAAGCGAATTTTGCCAGCTTGTCTTGTAGAGTTAGAATAGCTGTAGAAATTGAGTATGTTACCAGCAGAACTCTAGAACTCCAGAACATTTGGGGTCATTCAACTCCCAGGAAATTAAACTCATTTCAGCAGTGACCTTCACCTCCCTAACCTTGGCTCTTCACATTTGGAAGTTACTGTTTTGTGGTGAAAAGTACTTTAAAATTTTATTTTAGGAATTTTGTTTGGGTCTTTTTCTTTAAAGTTGTTTTTTGGACTGGGAATGTAACTTAGTAGTAGAATATGTACCTGACATTACAAGGCCCTGAGTTTGATCCTGAGCACTACCAAAACAGCAGCCCACTAAAACAAGGGTATATATATATGTGTGTGTGTGTGTGTGTGTGTGTGTGTGTGTGTGTGTGTGTGTGTGTGTGTATGTGTGTGTGTGTATGTGTGTGTGTCCGTGTATGTATACATGTATGTATACACACATGTGTGTACACGTATACACACACACACACAGATATATATGAAAATCCTGTACCCATTATGTTCTATTCTAATTTTTTGTAAAAGTTAAAAAAACAACAAACAGAAAACCTTGTTAAAGAACTATATTAGGGCAAGAGTTAGTGATCAGGGTTTAGCATGAGAATTTTCTTTGGGGCATCTACTTGTCAAATAATTAAGTAATTTTATTTCAGTATTATTTTGTTTTTTATTTTTCTAGAACAGAGTCTTTAAATTTTTAAGTATGTCCACACAACTTTTTAAATTTTTAAAAGAAATCAGAGCTTATTTTAAACTTACAGAAGAGTAACAGAAACAGTACAGTAGCTCCTTACATCCTTAATCCAACTCCTTTGTCATCTTGCATGACAGGATGTGCAGAGCCTGCTGGGTCTTCCTGCCTTTGCCTCCCCATCAGTGGGAAGGATTCTAGGGATAAAATTCAGCTCCTCAAGCCCTTTAATGGCGGAGCTTCCTCTCCAGTCCCTTTTGCTAACTTTGATAACCTCGACACTTGTGAATTTTCTGACCATTTATTTTATGGAATGCTAATGGTTTGGTCTTGTTAGTCCTTGTGATTGGAGTGAGCTGTTTTTGGTGAAAGTACCTAGAAATGATACTGCATCCTTTACATACAGCACACTGAGAAGTCCATGACTTCCGTTTGCTTCCTACTTGCACATGACAACACACCGGGAAGCTTATGAGACCTGTTTGCCTCCCGATTGTTAATGTTTACCTCGATCCTTTGGGTAAAGTGGTGTCCACCAGTTGTCTCCACCGTAAAGTTAGTGTGTTGGGCTTCTCCAGAAAAACAAACTCCATATGCTTATATGTATATCGAGCTTTATTTTGAGGAATTGGCTTGTAAAAGTATGAGGATGGCAAGTTTGGAATTTGCAAGGACCAGCACAGTATAATTTAACGTTGCAGTTTATGTTCAAAGGTAGTCTGCTGGAAGAATATCCTCTTCATGGAGGTCAGTCTTTTTCCATTAACTTGGATGAGGCTCCTCATTGTGATGGAGGACAAAGTTGGTAGATGTAAATGTTGTTCCCATCCAAAACATGCCTCCATCATCTGTAATAGTGTCTGTTCAAAGATCTCCGCATTAGGGCCTCACTAAGTTGACATGTAAAATTAGTTAATCATGACAGTTAATGTCTTCCCTTTTGTGTGGAGGAGATTTGGGTTTTGGTTGTTGTTGGTTTTGTTTTTGGTGGGAGGAGTAGGGTCTTGGTATATTGCCCAGTACTCAGGTTGGCCTCAAACCCCAGCTCACATAATATTCTCACTTTCTTCTTCCAAGACTGTAGTTTTGGGGGAATGTTCCTTAAGGCTGTGCTGAGGCTTTTCCTTTTCTTCTATCAGTACTGGGGATTGAACGACGGGCCTCCCCATGCAAGGATGCCCTGCCCCTGAACCACCTCTCCTTCCCTTCCCGTTCTTTCTTACACTCTTGCCTGCAATTTCAGTACCCATCGGTGGATCTTACAAGATCTTTATCACTCTGATTTTTACCTCATGATGAAAAAGTCCCATAGCCTTCATTTATTTATTTTTAGAATTCTGTTGTAAGAAAAAATCATGATTTTTTCTGTTGAAGAATGATGTGTAAAGGTTAAGATCCAATTATTTTTCTTTTCTTTTTTTTTAATATGTACCACATTTTATTTTTTTTTCCCACGGATTCCCTTGTTCTCCCCCCTCCTGCCCCACCCTCCAGATCTGCCTGCCTCTGTCTGCCTCCCAAGTGCTAGGATTCCAATGATTTTTGTAGGTTTAATTTCTTATTTGCTTCATGGCTCAGTCATAATGTCTCATATTCACATAGGCCCAGATGTAAAGAAAAAAACTGAAGAGGAAGATGTTGATTGTGAAGATGACCTCATTGTAGAACATCAGCCAGCAAATGCAGTTAAAACAGTAGACTTCAACATCAGTGAACATGTACCAGGTACAGTGTTTCTAACTAGTTCCTCTGGAGGAGATCAGGTGATTCTGCTCTTTGGGAGGCCTAGAAACAGCAAAGGCTCATGTGTGAGGGAGTAGTTGCTTGCTTGCTTGCAATGTTGAACTGTGTTCCCTTCCCATTAGCCTTTTGGTTAGCAGTAGCCAAGACAGGTAGGTTCTTTACCATAGTTAAGTTACAGTGATTTGTGAACTCGTTGAGAAGGTAGAACAACTGGAAATGATTGCACTTCTGTGGAATACTGACTGGATGTAGTACTGTTATGTTGAATTCCACTATGGGAAGTAGGAGCAGTTTTACTAGAAGACATCACATTACATTATATTATATTGTATTATATTATATTAATGGTATATTACAGCCACACACTGTAAAGCCAGTCAGAGCTTTCCCACTCCAGAGGTTGGCCTATATGGAGAAACACGTTGTGGTGTGCGTATCTGTCAGTCATTGGTTTGAGTAGCCCTTTACTCTCACAAACTAGGTGCTGCACCCACTGAAGTACAACAGCAGCCCACGGTTTAAGTCAGTCCGGGCTTTGTAGCACTTGGACTGAGTGGTAATGACAGGTGGAAATCATTTCTCTGACATACGATAGATTTATGAACTTTTACTTAAAGTTTAATTTTGGTAGGTAATTATTCATGCTGCTTTTGCTTAACTTTTCCATATAGTATTATTTATATCCCAGTTCTTTTCCTTTATTGCTGATTTTCTTTTTAAAAAAAGGAAAATTAATTCTTTGGCTTTATAGAAATAGAAGAACTGCCTCCAGTTGACCATGGCGTTCCTATCACAGACCGAAGGAGCACTTTTCAGGCCCATGTGGCCCCCGTAGTCTGTCCTAAGCAGGTGCGTGACTGAATCTTGCCACCTTGACCTTTCCACCAGTGTGGTTCTAGGAGATGTTTCCATCTCACTGTTATGGCTTCACATGACATAGACATCATTTATTTGTTTCCCCACTCCCACATTCCTGTGAGCATGAGAGATTTGCTTGTTTCTGCTTTAAAAATTGTGTGTAAACTTTGCTTTTTGTTGAGGATTAAACTAGCTCATGTCGGTTCTAGACAAGCATTCTACCACTGAGCTACAATATTAGGGTTGTATTTAAACTCTGATTGGATCTTATTCGTCAATGAATCTTTAAGAAAAACGTGTGTTACTGTAGAAAATCATGCTTACCAGCTGATCAGAAAGAATGATTTGTTCTACTGAATATGCGAAGCTGAGTCTGTTCTACTGTTCCCTGATGAGGGAGGGCATTTGGGCCCACATGCCAAGTCCAGTCTCCCACATGTTGTTTCTTGGTGTTCGTCGACCTTATGCCTACCAAAGGATGCAAATGGCAACTCATTCTTCAAAACCACTGTTTGTAGGTCCTTGACTCTCTTATGTCTTTCCAGCAGGATCTGTCTATTGCTGTGATCTAGCAGAAATTCTGTATTGATATACAAGGTGGTTCCAATGCTACATATACAGTTAAATAGCAACAGGGAAAGTGCCATTGTTCACACTTCAGGGCTTAATCTCCTTCCTTTGGACTCTGTTTCTACTCTAACCTCCACCCCGCCCCCCATCCCTTCTTTTCTTTGCAGTGCTGGGAATCAGAGCCAGAACCTCATACATCTGGGCAAGGGCTCTACACCCCTAGCCCTCTAAGAGCCTCTGAAGCCTTGACTCTTAGGAATAGAGTTCCTTTTACAAGGACTTTACTCTCAGGAACAGGGAGAGGACTTCTTCTTCTTCATAGATGTGTGCTCAGGAGGACTGCTTTCCTATTCAGCTGACTGACCTTTTCGTTTGAAGTCCATTCTGTCCTTGGCCTTTGTTCATAATCCTCCAGAATCCTTCTTAGACACTCTCTTCTGAATTTTCCATCCTGAACCCTCTTTCTCTTCTTGATCACAGACCCTTAGACAGTGTGAGAACTGAAATATTCTTTAAGATGATTGCTTTGCTGTATTGATCCAGAGTCTGAGAACTTGAAAGTGGTGGCTGATGACCGCAGATTAAATTGGGTCTCTTTGAGTTCATCTCAGGTTTTTTCCACTATTTCTCTTGAGTTTGTAGCAATCTGACTATATCTCACTCTCTTTTCCACCCAGTCTCCTTTTCACAGAATCTTTACTGATTTCCGTCACAAGGGAAAAAACCTAAACTCTTTACACAAAACCACTTGTGTTCAATTCCTAATTTACCGTTAGGTGAGTCTTGCATCTTCTTCATGGTTTTTTGTTTGTTTGTTTTTTTGTTTTTTTTCGAGACAGGGTTTTTCTGTGTAGTTTTGGTGCCTGTCCTGAATCTTGCTCTGTAGACCAGGCTGACTTTGAACTCTCAGAGATCCGCCTGGCTCTGCCTCCCGAGTGCTGGGATTAAAGGCGTGCGCCACCACCGCTGCCCGGCCTTCTTTATGTTCTTAAGGTGCAGCAGGTAGCATTTCCTCAGCCTCTCTTCTTATTCCTTATAGGGTTGACAAAGGAAATACACACCTTGAAGCTGAGTCTCAAGTAGGCATAGTGGGACATACTTATATTTATTTATTTATATTTATATTGAAATGTATCTGTTGTTGATTTGAAATTCTGTTTTGACTGGGTGGTTTTTTGTTTTGTTTTTTGTTATTTAGTTACTCATCTAACCTCCTATTCCTTGCATTTGCCCTCTGAGTGAATTTCTTCTTCATGCCTCTTCCTTTCCCTTGCATTTTGATGCAGAAGAACTGCCACTTACAAGAGCTGGGTTAGAACTCCCCCATGAAGCGTGCTTGGCTCCTAGAGACAGTTGTGATTTTGTAACATTGGGAGCACGCAGTTGCTGTACACCTGCCATAGAGTGGGCACAGTCAGGAACGTCAGAGCTAGTTTCTGGAAATGCTTGCGTTTACATGAAAAGTTCTCTACATGGGGAACACATTTTCATTCGTTGTGCCTTCGACATACAGACTAAACATCTGTTGGTAATTAGTGCTCAGAAAGTGTCTGCCCTATTAGGTCACTTCAGAGCTTAGTGGATTCTTTAAGTGAATGTTTTGGTATAAGATGTATATCAAATCACTTTAATTCTACTTTTATAGCATTTACAGAGTAAATAAAAGTCATATTTGTTTATTTATATTATTGCTTTTTTTAAAGGTGAAAATGGTTCTTGCCAAATTGTATGAGAATAAGAAAATAGCCAGTGCCACCCACAATATCTACGCCTACAGGTGAGCGACTGTCAGCCTTCAGACTGGGTAATTCATGAGCAGTGCTTGGGAAACTGTGCATGACTTTAAAATGTCACTGTTTTTACTGTAATAGTAGACCTGTGAGATAACACGAACTGCAGGAAGAGAAAGGCATAGCCGGAAGGCATCGCCTCCTGCCAACTACAGTTGCTAGTAGTCTGTGTGTGCTGTCTTTTCTGTGAGAAGTTCACTCTTTTCAATACTTTACCTGTGTCCTGTTTTTTTAATTTAATAAAAATTTTTTCTGTATTTACTTGATTAAAAACCGTTTCAGTGTCTTACAATACTTGATTGAGGTTCCACACCTCGATTTATTTAGCGTTTCTCTTTCAGCGCAGTTTTTCAAATTTTCGCTATTGTAAAGCGAGTCTGGCAGACATCTTTTGCCCACGAATTAGATTATTTCTGCAGAGTTGATTGAGTTGGTTCATATTTGTGTGCACACATGCACATGTGTGGGGGATGCTTTCCTGTGTGTTGGGGCTTGTCCTCTATTGCTCTCCACCAAGCTTCTTGAGACAAGGTCTCCTGCTGAGCCTGGAGCTCATGGCTTTGGTTGACTCACCGGCCAGTACACCCTCAGCATCTCCTGGTCTTTGCCCTGTAACGCTCAGTGCTGGGTGGTCACAGGCACACATGGCCACGCCAGCTTTTCACGTGGGTCCCAGGAATTCAGACTTAGCTCCTCATGCTTGTGCATAAAGCTCTTATTACTGAGCTGATGAGGAGCATATCTACCAGATCCTCACCTTCTTTTTAAAAAGTGAAATGCAGAAACAATTAAAAAGAACATAGTTTTATAGTAGAATTATCAAAAAATATGAATCCTTTTGAAAGTTGATATGTGTTTCAAATTTTCCCAAAGGCTATTTTTTTTTTTTTTTTTTTTTTTTTTTTTTTTTGGTTTTTCGAGACAGGGTTTCTCTGTGCAGCTTTGCGCCTTTCCTGGGACTCACTTGGTAGCCCAGGCTGGCCTCGAACTCGCAGAGATCCGCCTGGCTCTGCCTCCCGAGTGCTGGGATTAAAGGCGTGCGCCACCACCGCCCGACTTCCCAAAGGCTATTTTTAAACCAATTTATTCTCCTATAAATAATGAGTTAAGAGTGCTTTTGTAGCTTACCTTGGGGTTTTGACTGCAAATGTTTGCTGATTTGCAAATGAAGACATGAAGGACATTTTAAAATATAAAAAAAAATAAGACTTAGAGATGTAGTTTAGCCCTGAAGTAAAAAAGAATATAGATATATGGAGTTGGTGTAAATTTAAAATTCGGTTGAATGTTTATAAAATCCAGGTTGGGCAAACTTCCAATTGAGAAGGTTCGGTTTGCATAAGGAAGTTTTCCCTATTAGTAGATTCACATCTAAAAAAAAGAATTTATTTATGTGTATGAGTATGAGCCCCTGAACAGTATCTCCATAGAAATAATGTATTCTTTTTTATTTGCTTATTTATTTATTTTATTTTATTTTGGATAAGGTCTCGTGTAGCCTAGGCTGGCCTCCAACTCGTGTAGCCCAGGCTGGCCTCCAGCTTGCTTTATTGGGTGTTAAACTGATTCTGCTCCTACCTTCCGAGTGCTGGGGTCACAGTTCTATGCCACGTTGTCCAGCAGCATATTGAAAACCCGATAGCTGGACTAACAGAGGAAGAATATGAAGCCTTCACACATGTGGCCTTCATCTCCTCTGAAGCACTTGTGTTTTTCATTATGTCCTAGGAGTGCACCGCCTGTTTCTTACATATCGCCTTATAGTTTCTGTTGTATAAGGCCTCGATGCAGCATGGTCTCAGCAGACGGCTTTCCGTCACTGACGGGAATGCATGTGTAAATTCTTCTCACAAAAGCAGCACTGTAATAAAGAGGAGAAACCTCTGGGTCCTAGTGTCCCCACGGTGAAGATGGGCTATGTGGCCAGCCAACCATAAGAATGCACTAGACAGAGCTGAAGAAGGATTTTAAGAAAAATATGCTAATTTTGGAGGTGATCATATTGATTATTAAATATTGAGGACTAACATTTATTATATGACATATTTTATTCTACTTTGGTGCTTCCAAGTACAGCCCTCCCTATGTATTTTAGGATATACTGTGAGGACAAGCAGGCCTTCCTGCAGGACTGTGAGGATGATGGAGAGACAGCTGCTGGGGGTCGTCTTCTTCACCTCATGGAGGTCAGTGTGGAGTTCAATTTGGAATACGCACTTACAAGCCGTAGAGTTTCCAAGGAAGACAGAGCCCCACTTAGGAAGAAGGAAAAGTCTGAATGACTTGAGACACTGCTCATAAACACTGATTGAGGAGAAGCCTTCACCACTGGACCCGGGACAGTGCAGACAGTTAATCCCTGATGACGTGCTTTCCAGGAAAAACACAAGACTGTCTGCAGCTCTGGGGAACTGCTCTTTGTTTCCTGGCAGTGGCTTCCCTGTCTGTCTTCTCTTCTGTCTTTGTGAAACTCCCTGTTGGTTTGACGCTGAAACATGGGGTGGATGGAGGATGTTTCATTGTTGAAAATTAAATTGCTTATCTCTTTGTCAAGAAAATGTGAGCCTTTTTTTTTTTTTTTTGAGACAGGGTTTCTCTGTGTAGCCCTGGCTGTCCTGGATCTCACTCTGTAGACCAGGCTGCCCTCGAACTCACATTGATCTGCCTGCCTGTGCCTCCCGAGTGATGGGATTAAAGGTGTGTGCCACCACCGCCGCCACCTCCACTGCCACCACTCAGCACAAAATTTATGTATTTTTAACAACCTTGCATTTAATTTTCTTAAGCAGTATTCTCTTCCTTATTAGAAATGTCTCCCTCTTTCTAAAACAGTTATTTACTTTCTGTGTGTGGATGTTTTGTATGCATCATGTCTGTGCACCATGTGCATACAGTGCCTGCAAAGGCCAGAGATGACGCTGGATCCCCTGGAGCTGGAGTTACAGATGACTGAGCTGCTGTGTGGGTGCTGGGAATCGAACCTGGGTGCTGGCAAGAGCAGCAAGTGCTCTTAACAACTGAGTCATCTCTCCAGCTCCTGCATTAACCTTTTTTTTTTTTCTGTTTTCTATTTCTGTTTTTCTTAGGAATCTTGTTCAGTTTTTACAGATAAAGTAGCTTTTAAATTTTGTCTGCATGTATTAATTTGAGTTCCTTTACTGGACTATTTTCAGCCTTAAGTTTTTCCAGGTGCATCTTAGTTTATCCCATCCTTTCTCTTTCCTCCTGCTGGATTTTCTTCATCTGTCTGGTGATCATTGATTGTCCATTAATTTTAAGAGTGGATTATTTTTTCCTCAGGTAGTTTCTTCTATTCATGTATGTGGAGTTTGCTTTGTAACTAGGCCTTTCTCTTGAGAACCTTTCTGTGGGGTGGGGTCAGATAGGAACACTGGTGGCTTCGCTTTAAAGGCAGCACTTGACGAGGGTTTCAGCTGTACTTGTGAAGGTCCTCATCTCTGCAGTAAGTGTGATCAGGAGCAGGGTTTGTTTGTTGGTTTGTTTTTGCTTTTGTTACTGGTAAAAGGCTGCCTGCAGGTAGCTTTCTGGGTAAAAGTCAGTAAGAATGGGAGGCCTGCTTCATGGTTTCCCCTTCGCTCTGACCAGTGGCTCCACAGTTCAGAGTCTGAGGGTGTGGACACTGTACTGACCTACGGAATTCCCTTTGTGCCGACTTCCCTACCTGGGTTGTTAGCAGCTTTACTCAGTGCGTGCTGTTTTAGATAGCGGTTATTTCATTCCTAAAACTCAGGTTTGTGCATATCTGTTTGTGTGTAATTATGCTTCTGAAAACAACAGATTTTGAATGTGAAGAATGTCATGGTGGTGGTATCCCGTTGGTATGGAGGAATTCTGCTCGGACCTGATCGTTTCAAACATATCAACAACTGTGCCAGGAACATACTGGTGGAGAAGAACTTCACAAGTTCACCTGTAAGTCGCCCTTGATGCTGTGGAGTTTGCTGTCACCGTGAAACGACGAAAGGGAAATCAAGACTGGGAAACCTTGGGCATTGCAGTGGTAAAGCTATTGAACTAGAAAGCTGGAGACCTAGGCCTTAGTCAGAATGATGGGAGAATCTGGTTTTATAAGTCTGGTCTGAAGAGTTTATAGTAGAAAAAGCAGAGACCCCTTTAAATACTATCTGTTGTCCATGCCCTCAAACTGAGGTCCCGAGAGATGTGAGCTGTCACACTGAGTCGATGTTCTTGAGGTACCTGTGAAGTCCTAAATTCCGTTAGTGTCGTATTATCTGTGCTTCCCGACATGTCTGTGGATGTCTTCTTTATATCCTGAGTTTGTTTGGCTTATGCATTACATATGTTCATAGCTGTTTATTTAGACTTGGGAGAATGGAGAGAGATGAAGTAATATTGAGATTTTTCAAGCATAAATGTACTAGGTAAAATGCTTTCCTTGACTAGCCTTTCCTGTCGGGAGAGACTATCCTAGACTAAGCCGGAGTGTCTCAGGCAGTGCTCAGGCGTTTGGAAGGCCTTAGGCTTCACCGTGTAGTCTGGCCGTGTGGTTGCCATGAGCTCCCATCTGTACCCGGTGTGGAGGTGCTGCATTGACTGATTTCTTTTCCAGGAGGAGTCATCTAAGAGTTTGGGAAAGAAGAAAGTAAAAAAAGACAAGAAGCGGAGCGAACATTAATCTTGAAACTGTATGAAAGATTAATTTCCGAGTCATTGTGTACACATTCCCGGTGGTTAACGAATACACGAAGACGGCCACTTGACAGCTCCAGTCAGCCAGTTCATCATGGACACCAGCGTTATGTTTCCTTCCTTGGTTCTATCATTTGCCAAAATAGAGAATTTAGGATTATTCACAAGTGTTTCCGACTTGTGTGGAACTGATATGAGCTTAGTCACCGTTTCCTATAACTCTTGGAAGGTGGCAGATGTAGGGCACTGTAACTGAGCTAACTGTCCATTTCAGTTCATGTCAAGTGCCTTTGTTTGGCAGGGAAGACGTGTCTTCAGAAGACGAAATGCCTGATTTCTTGTGATAGATATTCTCACACCGTTAAATGAACAGGCTTTTACTGCTCCTGTAGCTTCTCAGAGCGGGGCTCAGTGAAGACTGCAGCCGTGGAGAATCTTTCCTTGTGATTTCACAAGCTTGTCACTTATCATCTTACAGTGTTCACCATGGAGTAATAGTAAGTGAAAATCCAGGAGTATCCATCTGTGATTATGTGCCGAAGTGGACATTCCACATATCTGCTAGCCCAGTTCTTAGCCCTCCCTTTTGTTCAAAATTGGTGTTCGTGAAATTTCAAAAAGTGATTTTTTTTAGTCTCTGCCTTTTATTAATTCCTGTAATGAAACAGTGAGCGTTGAGTCTCGGGAGTCCTTCCATCCCTTCAGTGTGGTGAGGTGACATTACAGTGTCTCTAAACAGCCTGGGAGCGCCTTCCTTGTGTCCTTCCTGGGACTGTGGCCAACAGGACACTTCAGTAAGGTGAGGTGGCAGAACACCACTGGTGCGGGGAGAGCTGGACTAGTCTGCACACTTGCAGGGAGAGCTGACTAGTTTATGCACACTTTCAGGGGAGAGCTGACTAGTCTGCACACTTGCAGGGAGAGCTGGACTAGTCTGTGCACGCTTGCAGGGGAGAGCTGGACTAGTCTGTGCACACTTGCAGGGAGAGCTGACTAGTCTGTGCACACTTGCAGGGGAGAGCTGGACTAGTCTGTGCACACTTGCAGGGAGAGCTGGACTAGTCTGTGCACACTTGCAGGGAGAGCTGGACTAGTCTGTGCACACTTGCAGGGAGAGCTGGACTAGTCTGTGCACACTTGCATCTATATCTGGACAGTTTTTTAGTTCTGTGATTTTTGTTGAGAGATGGAGGGACAAATCTTTTAATTAGGAAAAACAAATTCTTTCCCTCCAAATTCTTGGCAAATCCCCCTTTTAACAGTGTTTTATTTATTTATTTATGTTTCACCTGCATGTTCCTTTTTTTTTTTTTTTTTGGTTTTTTGAGACAGGGTTTCTCTGTGTAGCTTTGCGCCTTTCTGGAACTCACTTGGTAGTCCAGGCTGGCCTCGAACTAACAGAGATCCGCCTGGCTCTGCCTCCTGCATGTTCCTTGTAAGGAAAAAGACAGAGAGAGTCCCTTTGAGATGTAGGTAAGTTGTATACCGTTATCTATCAGATATGATGCCAGCAATTACTAAGTTCATCAAGTGATCACAGGCCTGTTTGACTCCCCTCCCAAGGAAGGGACCAGAACGAAATTAGGAAGCAGCTTTGGGATGGCACTGGAATGTGGAGCATCTGAGAGTGGGCAGATGTTCTTCTCTGACCTTTAACCCTGGAAGCTCCACATCCTCACTTGGTATTTTAAATAGGAATCCAGGAGCCAGCTTTACACTAGAGTAGGTTCTGAGACAGAAGTCTTATTTTCAACATTATTTAATGTTGTACGTTATCGAGAACTATAGGATAACCTATATGTGTGTATTTGGAGCACTTACCTCTGTTTCCATGAAATGCTGAGTATATCCTATGTATTAACTGTTACAGAACTTAGACATTATTTGCTAAAGATAATTTCACAATATTGACATTTCAGACCTGTGAAAAGTGATAAAAACACTAAAATTTATGCTGCAGGAGGAAGGAGTAATTTTTCCCAGCACACTGATTTTGAGTTTCTTTCCTGGTGTTTTGTCTAAAATGTATTAGGGTTTACAGAAGACAAAACATTTTTTTTTAATCTCTGATCTCATTTCCTTCACTTAAAAATGTTAAAATGTTTTCTTCATTTTACAAGATTACTAACCGTATTTTGTAGGTTGAGCTCCTCAACCTTCTTCACTGCAGGAGGGAGGAGAGATCCCAAATTCTTCAGTTCTAACTCCTGAAATTATGTATTTCACTCTTACCATCAATGCAAAATAATGGTAGCATATTTTTCTCTATTAAGATAGAGAAAAATCATATGTAGAGAATTTTCTAGTTCTCCAGATAATAACTTTCTATAGCCAGGTGTCTGCTGTGGTGTTCTCTATATTATATTAGTTACAATTTTCTTCACATGCTGGTATATAAAAGCAAGTAGCATCTACTTTAATGGGCATAGCAGTAGCTGCATGAAGGAGATGTTTGGAAGGACGTTAATTAGTTCAAACCAAGCACAGAACAGATGAAGCAGATACTGTGTGGAGGGCAGGTTGAATGATGTTGGGAAAATTGTAACCGCATCCAGTCCACTAAAGAGATGACAATAAATGGTGTATACAGTTCTTACTTTTTCTTATGCATGATTTTGTATATATGGCTATTTTTCTTTCCATAAAAATGATATTAAAGTATATATACTGTTTTTTATCCTACACATTTCATATAGAAGTATATTGTTAACATTTTCCCATATCAATAAATATTCTTCTATGGCTTAGCTTGTTATGACTGCATTGTATTCTGTCTCCTGGGTACATTGTAATATACAAACTCATCCCCCAGTTGTTTTTCAGCAAGTTTTTTTTTTTTTTTTTCAGATTTAGCTCTTAGAAGCAAATGTGAAGTATTGTTTCATTGCATGAAGGTTTTTATATGTATCCCTGACTATTAGGAAAATGTGGAAATGGAGTTCTCCATGAAGGGTTTATATATTCTCACAGCGCTTTGTAGACTAGCCACATTGTCCTTTATCCTCATCACTATTACAAATGCTTAAAAAAAAAAAAACAAAGTGAGAAGATAAGCAATGTGGTTGATAAAATTCCCAGTGTCCATAAAAGGCATAAATATAGGAACCCTATGTACCCAGAACTCAGTCTTCCCTAGTAATAGCATCATGTAAAGCCCTTAGTTTCATTTCCAAACTAAGGAAATCCATTCCAGATACAACCCTTTGTTAGATACATGTTCCAGTTTCTCTTGAATATGGAATTTCCTTCCTTCTCTTAGCAGTGCCTGGCGGCAGAGACCCGAATCATCTTCCTCCCACTTTTTGGGCGATGCTGAGCCTAGAACCCAGGACTTTGTACGTGCTAGGCAAGCCCTGTACCACGGTGTATAGTCTCCATCATTTCCTCTTTGTACATCGTGTGTGTGTGTGTGTGTGTGTGTGTGTGTGTGTGTGTGTGTGTGTGATGTCTAAAAACTACTTAACCTCAAGGCCATTTATTTATTTAAAAAAGTGTTTATTTGTGTATGCACATATCAGAAGTCAACGTTTCAGACAATGTCTCACTGAACCTGGAGCCCATCAGTGGGGCTCGTTGGCTGGTGAGTGAGCTCCTGGCCTTATCCTGGTTCTGACCTCCCCCCGCAACCCAACACTAAGGTTTTACATGAGTCCTGCAGATCCAGACTCAGTCTTCTTGCTTGTGTGGCGAGTCCTTTACTGACCAAGGCATATCCCCAGTCACTAAAGAGTTTCTTCCGTTCTGGTTTCAAGTTAGACAGTTTCATGATTTCCTCCTCATCCTAGTTGTTGTTTAAGGTGAAGTCAAAGCTCTTTTTTTCCTTTCTTGATGCATTTTGTTGGCCAGTTTTCACACAGTGAACACTGTAGCCAACACTTGGGTGGAGTGAAGGGACCTGTGCTTCCCGTACCACTTCCCTTACTTCTCACACCGGAGATGAGTTTGGTCTCTTTTCACCTAGATGTGCATGGAACGGCACAGAGCCGTCTGTTGGACTCCTCATTCCAGAGTGACATTGGAAGACTCGTCAGGTAATGGTGTGTAGCAGTGTTTCTTTCTTCTCACTATGTACTATTCTATTGAAAGAACATGACAATTTATTCTATTTATAAATATTTGAGTTTCCAGGTTGAAGATATTACAGTTAGTGCTGTTAGGAACATTTCTTTTTTTTCTTTTTTCTTTTCTTTTTTTTTTTTTTTTTTTTTAAGATTTATTTATTTATTATGTATACAGAAGAGGGCGCCAGATCTCATTACAGATGGTTGTGAGCCACCATGTGGGTGCTGGGCGTTGAACTCAGGACCTCTGGAAGAGCAGTTGGTGCTCTTAACCTCTGAGCCATCTCTCCAGCCCATAGGAATATTTCTTACATGTGGCTTTTAGTGAATGTATGTAGACATTTCTAAAACGTTTTTAATTACATTTTTACTGTGTGTGTGTGTGTGTGTGTGTGTGTGTGTGTGTGTGTGTGTGTGTGCGCACATACGTGTATATGTAGAGGTCAGGACAATTATCAGGAGCTGACACTTTCCTTTGACTGTGGGTCCTGGGGATTAAACTCAGGTCATCAGGCGTGGCAAACCACTAACCGTCTCCCCAGCCTCTTACACAGGCATTTCTCTAGGACATTTGCTAGACGTGGATTTGTGAGGTCATAGGACATGTACATGCAGAGCTCTGACATACAGTGCCCAGTGGTGTGCTGGCCCTGAGTTCAGTGCTGACTTGGGATGTCTGCCAGTTGTTCTCATTCTGGCCCAGTTTCAGACCGTTAGTGAGACGTCAACTGACTCCCAAGGTTCTAAAACTAAGCCAGCGCTAACATGTTGATTTAGGTAGCAAGCAGTTTTCTAGTTACAGCGACTTCTGCTCCTTCCTGCAGTCCATGGATTCTAGTTACCTCACGTCTTCATGTGGTATAGCTTCATTTTCATTGCATGGTGTGATGACATCACTTTCTGGTTTTAGTTTGTATTTCCATGCTGACAAAGTTGAATACCTTTGGTGACCACATTTTTGTCACTGAAGAGACTGAGTCATCTTGAAATGATTTAATTAGGAGTGGATGGTGGGGGCTTGTTACCAAGGTTGAACCAGATATGGAGAAATAAGGTTATAGTTTTTCATCTTTAGGGAGGTAATCTATAAATCTCTACTGGCATAGTGTAATAAATCTGTGAATTATCCAAGTACCATTTTATAAGTTATAAAAATATGGGATATAGTTCTCGGTCTACATTATTATGAGGGTTAAATAAACTGTTCAGTGATGCTTAGGATATGAAAGAATTCCATTCAATCTGATTTTGTGTTTGATGTAGGCTGTTTCTGAGGATTCCAAGGGTACCTAGATCCCTAATTAGACATGAGGTTTCCATATTCTTTGGCTCCTGGGAAGGCATTCTGGCACAGTGAACATGAAGTAGACCCTGTCATTTGACTGTTCATTTTTATTTGTTTATATTAACTGCAGTTTCCCCTCCCTCCTTTCCTCTCAATGCCCCCCAGCTCCCCCAACACCCCCAGCTGCCCCCCATCTACTCCTCCATTTCTCTTCAGAAAAAGGGTAGGCCTCCCATGGATATCAGCCAGCCATGGCATTTCGACTTTCAGTAACGCTAGGCACCTCCTCTCCTAGGAGGAATGGGTCCCAAAGGAAGGCATCAGAGTCAGAGACAGCCCTGCTCCCACTGTTAGGAGACCCACAAGAGGACCAAGCTACATAGCTGTCACATATATGCAGAGGGCCTAGGTCAGTCCCATGCAGGCTCCCTGGTTGTCAGTTCAGTCTCTGAGCCCCTGTGAGCCAGGTGAGTTGATTCTGTGGGTTTTCTTGTGATGTCCCTGACCCTTCTGGTTCCTACAGTCCTTCCTTTCCCTCTTCCACAGGATTCCCCAAAATCTGCCTGAAGTTTGGCTGTGAGTCTGCATCTTTTTCCATCCATTTCTGAGTGAAGCCTCTCTGGTGACAATTGGGCCAGGCACCAATCTATGAGTATATCATAGCAGAGTATCATTAGGAATCATTTATTGACCTTTTTTTCTCCAGTCATGTTTGGTTCTACCCTAGATTTTTGGGCTGTCCAGCCTCTGGGTCCTGGCCCTCCAGGCAGTGTCAGGTGAGTTCCGTCTCATGGCCTGGCTCTCAAGCTGGACAGTCATTGGTTGGCCACTCCCACAATTTCTGCATCACCTTTACCCCAGCACATCTTGTAGGCAGGACAAATTGAAGGTTGAAGGTTTTGCGGCTAAGTTGGTGTCCTAGTCCCTCCACTGGAAGTCTTACCTGGTTATAGGAGATGACCGGTTCAGGCTCTGTATCCTCCATTGCTAGGAGTCTTAGGTAGGGTCACCTTCATAGATTCCTGGGAGTTTCCATTGCACTGGGTTTCCAGCTCATCCCAGAGATGCCCCTGATTCCAGTTGTCTCTCCAAGTACCCTCCATCCTCCCCTACCTGATCCCTCCTGTTCCCATTCCCACCCCACCCACCCCCAATCCAGACCCCTTTCCCCATCCACCCTCCATGTCTGTTCTCTTTCCCCCCACAGTGAGATTCATGCATTTCCCCTTCAGTCCTCCTTGTTACTTAGCTTCTCTGGGTCTATGGATAGTAGACTTTATAGCTAATGACCATTTATAAGTGAGTCCATATCATGTTTGTCTTTCTGTGTCTGGGTTACCTCACTCTGGATGATCTTTTCTAGTCCCATCCATTTGCCTGCAGATTTCATAATGTCATTGTTTGTAACAGTTGAGTAATTCTCCATTGTGTAAATGTACCACATGTTCTTTATCCATTTGTTGTTTGATGAGCATCTAGGTTGTTTTTAGGTTTTGGCTCTTATGAATAAAGCTGATATGAACATAGTAGAGGAAGTACCCTTGTGGTAGGATGGAGTGTCCTTCAAACATAAGCCCAGGAATGGTATAGCTGGGTCTTGAGGTAGATTAGTTCCCAATTTTCTGCAAAACCACCACGCTGACTTCCAAAGTGGCTGTACAAGTTTGCACTCCCACCAGCAATGGAGGAGTGTTCCCCTTGCTCCACATCCTCTCCAGCATGAGCTGTCACTTGTGTTTGATCTTAGCCATTCTGACAGGTGTGAGATGGAATCTCAGAGTCATTTTGATTGGCATTTCCATGATGGATAAGGATGTTGGACATTCCTTTAAGTAAGATTCCTCTGTTGAGAATTCTCTATTTAGAGCTGTATCCCATTTTTATTTGGATTATTTGGTTTATGGATGTCTAGTTTCTTGAGTTCTTTGTCTATTGTGGAGATGAGCCCTCTGTCAGATGTGGGGTTGGTAAAGATCTTTTCCCATTTTGTAGGCTGCTGTTTTGCCTATTTACAGTGTCCTTTGCCTTACAGAAACTCTTCAGTTTCAGGAGGTCCTGTCTATTAATTGCTGATCTTAGTGCCTACACTGTTGGTGTTCTGGTCAGGAAGTTGTCTCCTGTGCCAGTGTGTTCAAGGCTAACCCCCACTTTCTCTTTTCTCAGGTCCAGTGTATCTGGTCTTATGTTGAGGTCTTTGATCCACTTAGACATGAGTTTTGGGCAGCGTGATAGATACTAATCTGACTCTTAAGTTTGAATCCTGTGAATGCTTCCTACTAGTGTTGGAAGCTTAAGGAAGTTATCTTAGATCTCTACTGAGATTTGAAAACTTATAAAGGAACTGAATGGCTATTATTGATAAAGCTTTCAACTGTCATCTTGGCATTGTTGGGTCCCAAAG